GCGGCAATTGTTTGCTGCTTTCTCCCCTAGTCAATTTTTGTCATGTGGAAATACAAACTTAATGTGACCAGGGAAGCCAGAAATACACATTTGCAGATTATTTAAATATCGGCAACAAACTCAACATGTCAAAAACAGTCACCGTGGCAGCTAAACCAATCCGCCGCCCCTGGCCTGCAGCTTAGGGCGGTGCAGTTCACCAAGTGCTGGCACCAGAGGACTGTTCTGCCAGGGCGGGATGCCCGGCAGGACGGGGTTGCCGCGGCCGCTGCCTCACCCACCCCTGCCCTCTCCAGGTACCTGGTCACCGAGGGCCAGATCTTCATCCTCTTCATCTTCACCTTCTTCGCCATGCTGGCCCTCGTCCTGCACCAGAAGCGTAAGCGCCTCTTCCTGGACAGCAACGGCCTGTTCCTCTTCTCCTCCTTCGCACTCACCCTCTTGCTTGTGGCGCTGTGGGTCGCCTGGCTGTGGAATGACCCTGTGCTCAGGAAGAAGTACCCGGGTGTCATCTACGTCCCCGAGCCTTGGGCTTTCTACACCCTTCACGTCAGCAGTCGGCACTGAGTCCCGAGCCCCAGGCTCTGGCGCTCTGCTGGGTGGGAGGCGGGCCCTGGAGGGCGTCCGATTACACGAGTGGGAGGGGTGTGGAGGTGGATGTGCAACCAGAGACCGAGAGCATGGGTGGGTGTGCCTCGTGTGCATGGATTCGTGTGTGTGTGCGTGTGTGTGTCTTGTATGTGTGTGCAGAGTGCATCATTTTCAGACTCTACTACTGTGGTCAAGTTTTGAAAGTCCAGGCCCTTGCCTCCTCTATACCCGACCACACTTCTCATGACTCAGGGCTGGTCCGTTCTTCCTGGACATCTTCTGGTAGCTGTGCAGGGGAGGTCTGGGTGGGGCAGAGGCCAGGAGGGGATCTGGTGTGTTGCCCACCCAGCACCTGGCTCGTCCCTCAGGCCCACCCCAGCCCTACGTGACAGGTGACGTCAGCCTCCTGTGGCTGCTGAGCGAAGCGTTTGCCCTCTCTGGGCCTCATTTGCTCTAGAAGGGCCAGTGGTCCCAAAGCAGGTCAGTAGGTTGGGGTTGCTGACACCCTTGGGAGCAGCTCTGGGACAGGTGAGTGGCTCTCTCCTGTCACTGCCCTCTCCCTGCATGGCGGCTGTGTGCACGCCAGGCTTCGCCCAGGCTCCGGCCTGTGAGGTACGGAGCCAGCAGGCGCTGCCCACTCCCCTGGCACTCCAGCTCTCCAGCTGGCCCTCCCCTACCCGAAGCCCTGTCCGCCTCCTCCCACTCCAGAAGAACTGTGGCACATGCTTCAGGCAGCCTGGCTACAGGCTTTGAGCTACCATGGAGGGCAGAGCTGTCCCTCATGAGCACTGTTCCTGGAGCCCTGTTGAAGGAGTCGGGCCACCTTGAGACTCTAGTCAACCTTGCCTCCTCCAGAATCTCATGCCTCCTGCCACAGCCCTGCTCCCAGAGAAGGGAGGCCTCGTCCTCAGCATGATGTCCTCCCTGCCCCCCGCCCCGCCTTCTCCCAGGCATGGGGACAGGTGTCTTCACAGCAGAATGACCCATCGCCTCATCTGGCCAGCACGGGCCTGTGTGTGCTCGTGTCTCAGGAGGGCCTGTCTCGCCTTTCCTGGGCCCTGTCTCCTCTCCTGTGCTCTCAGGGAACCCCGTGCCCCGAACTCTTCTTCCCTGCTGGGGTCCCCCCCAGTCCCTGGGTCAGCCGTGTCTGCTGGCCCCCTTGGGTGGTGAGGGGTGTGAATAAAGGCTGATGTGTAGCCAGGCCTGGCTGGCGGCTGTTTCTGGCTTGGGCTGTGAACTGGGCAGGCCGGAGGGGGTTCCATGGAGTCAGGAGAGACCAACTGCTCTGGGTCCAGGCTAGAGCCAGAGGCTCCCCCTAGCAGCAGCCCTGGGCAGACCCCTCAGCACTGGTCTCGCCAAGAACAGGCGCTCCCACTGCCCCTCATGCCACTCCGTGGGAAGAGGAGCAAGGCTGGCCTCTTCCTGGTCAGTCTCAGCTCTTCAGAGAAGACTGGGGTGGGCCGTGGACAGGAGACGGGGTCTGCAGGGCTGTCCCACGGGGCCTCCCAGCGGTGCCGCCAGCCCTGGTCCAGAGGGGGAAGCAGAGGGTGCCCCTTGCGGGAAGGTGGAAGGCTGGCTAGTTGAACGTTAGCAGTTAGCCTCGGGGAAGTCATTCGACCCCTTGGGGCCTCCGCTCTCAATATTCAAAGGTCTCACCCTCACCACACAGCCACCAGTGACTCACCAGGCTCATGTCACGAGACAACACAGAGGGAAGGCCGTGCTGGGCAGGAGACGACGCAAAGCCTGCATCCGGGTCCCCGGCCTGCCCAGCACACCTGCTCGCTTCCTTCCCTGCCTCGGGGATGCTGCCCTCTACAGGACGGGGTGAATATTTCACAGGCAGGGGTGGGCCTGGGCGGGTGAGGCCTAAAGCTTATGCAATCGGGTTGGGGTGGGGGGGGACCCTTATGATAAGAAAATAGTTGAAACAAAAAGGTCAGTAGAAACCAGGCATGAAAGTAAACACTTAACGAAAGTGAGTCACAGCAGATTATCAGAGCCTTGGCGACGCGCGCCCCTCTTGGCCAAGATCTCTTTGGGAAGTTTCCTTGTTTTCCTAGAAATACTCCTCAACTGCAACCTGGCTTCACTTGACCTAGAAAACTAGGCCAGTGGTTCTTTTTTTTTTTTTTTTTTGGAGCTAGAGTTTCGCTCTGTCGCCCAGGCTGGAGTTCAGTGGTGCGATCTCCGCTCAGTGCAACCTCCACCACCTTGGTTCAAGTGATTCTCCTGCCTCAGCCTCCCAAGTAGCTGGGATTACAGGCGGGCACCACCACGCCTGGCTGATTTTTTGGTATTTTTAGTAGAGACAGGGTTTCACCGCTGGCCAGGCTGGTGTTGAACTCCTGACCTTGTGATCTACCCACAGCCTCCCAAAATGCTGGGATTACAGGCGTGAGCCGCTGTGTCCGGCCTGCCAGTGGTTCTTTAAGTGTGGCCTGGATGACTGGCTCCAGGATGGCAAAGGAAGAGACAAATTCTCCACCCTGTCCCCCAAAATCAGAAACTCCAGGACAGGGCCTGGCCAGTGATTCCGATGCAGCCTCAAGTTTGGGAACCACCATTCTAGGCGCTGGCTGCTCAAAAGTGTGGTCCCCAGGCCTGCAGCATCAGCTTCCGCAGAGCCTGTGAGGAAGGCAGCATCCCCGCCCCACGCAGACTTCCCAGATCTGCATGAATGGGTTTTGTCGGCATGGCTGCAGGACCACACTCAGTACCTCACACTCCCGGCACCAGGTGCGGGCCTCCCGTCAGTTTGCTGGGGCAGCCATCATTAAACAAAGTGCCACACAAGTGGCTTAAAGCAGTGGCTTCCCGCTTCTCACCCCTGTCCTGGGGTTGGTAGAGGGGAGGGGGCTCAAACTCTGACAGGGAGGAGTTGAGTCCCCCGCTAAAATTCTCCGGGTCTAGAAACAGATGTGAAGAGGTGACTCGGGGACATGATTTGGGGAAAAAAAACACACTTTAAAAAAAAATTTTTTTTACTGTTTTAATTTTTTTCGCCCTGTTACCCAGGCTGGAGTGCAGTGTTGCGATCTCAGCTCACTGCAACCTCCACCTCCCGGGTTCAAGCGATTCTCCTGCCTCAGCCTCCCGAGCAGCGGGATTACATTGCGTGCCACCACGCCCAGCGGATTTTGTCTTTTTAGTAGAGGTGGGGTTTCACCATGCTGGCCAGGCTGGTCTTGAATGCCTGACCTCGTGATCCATCTGCCTCAGCCTCCCAAAGTGCTGGGATTACAGGTATGAGCCACCCCCCCGGCCGAAAATCACACTTTCCACATGGAGGCGGTCAGGAAAGGAGCAGGGGAGGGAGAATGGAGCCCAGGCAGCCCAGCCTGTCCGTGTTCCTGTGTGAAAGTGGCACGACACCCCTCTTCCTATGGGCAGTGCAGCCCCTGGCCAGCACCCACTCGCACCTGGGCTGGGGGCCTAGTGTAGGGCACACCCGTGCGGCCACATCTGCTGCTTGTGAGCCAGACCCTGGGTGTAGAGCCCCATAGACTTCAGCTGTGGACAAAAGCCTCATGTCCCAAACAGGGAAATGGGATTCAAGGGGGAGAACCCAGGGGAACCTCGAAACCTGCCCCCATTTCTTCCTATGTGGGGGAGGGGAGTGGCACAAACCCCGAAAGGCTTGGGAGCCTCAGCAGCTTCTGCAGAAGGGGTGGGGGCTGAGGGTGGGGAGAGGAAGGGAAGGAACAAAGGGGCAGCCTTCCCGGCCAGGGTAACCGGCACCAAGAAGCCTCACCCCAAGCCCAGGCCCCTACCCCACCCTTAAATCCCCCGGAAGGTGGGGAGTGAACTGACACAGGCTGGGAACCGGCTGTGCGCCGGCCACTTGACTCTGCCAACGGCCCTGTAATTCGGCGGGTGAGGAAACTGAGGCACAGACCGATAGAACAACTGGCCAGTCACTCAGCCAATCAGCAGAGGGGGAGGATTGAATGCCAGCCTGAGAGCACGGAAGCTTGTGTTCCCTGCAATACCGACCCCTACCTGTGGGTCCCGCCGCCGCCGCCCATCTCTGAGTTGGGCCATCTCGGAAGGGCTCCCTTCCTCCTCCAAGATGGCGTGTGAGGAGCCTTCCAGACGACACAGGCTGTGAAGTGCCCTACTCCAGCAGAGGCTTGATGGCGTACCTGCCGAATCCCAGGAGAGAGAGAGAGAGAAGGCCAGGGCCCCCTCTCTGAGTTTCCCTGACCCCTTCCTGGCGTCCAGGGCTCCCAGGAAGAAACACTGGCATTTGTCCCTTTGCTTTGGCTTCTGGGGGAAGAGACCCCGAGCCCAGGGAGCGCCTTCTGCAGCCCCATTTCCTCAAAAATCCAACCCGACCAGGTGGCGGGGCATTGGCTATGCTCAGGAAGCTGGAATCTGACCCTGATGGCATGGGGCCCAGTCTCCATGGCAGCCAAGCATTTATTACCCGGGCCTCCACCCAGCTTGGCAGACTTTAGACTTGAGGCGGGAGGAAAGGGAGCTGAGAACTCGGTTCTGGGAGCAGCCAGCCCACGGGTGGCAGCCGGGGCCCCAGGATGGTGAGTGGGGGTCTGTGTCGGCCTGGCCAGGGCTGGGGGCCTGAGCCTCAGATGGAGCCCTCCCCTGACGACTGTTTTCCTTTCTCTGCTGCAGGCCAAGTTTCTTACCCAAGACCAAATCAATGGTAGGTTGGGTTTGTTCTTTAATTAGCAACTCAGCAAAATATGGGTCTCATTAGGTCATTTGCTCTGCCTGCGTTTTCATGGTGGGAAGGAAGGTGGCTGTGGGAGAGCTGCAGGGAGGCTGCTGTCGGTGGGGTGGGGGTCAGGGGTAAGCCTCCAAAACAGAAATATGGCTTTATACTTGTCAAGGTGATTTACAAGCCAGGGTGTCAAGACAGAGCTCACTAGGTGTCCCTCCAGAAACTGACCAGTTGGATTTGGGGACAGAGGGAACTGGGGATGGGGAGAGAGACTGTTAAAGGTATGGCTGAGACCGGGCGCGGTGGCTCACGCCTGTAATCCCAACACTTTGGGAGGCCGAGGTGGGCGGATCACGAAGTCAGGAGTTCAAGACCAGCCTGACCAACATGGCGAAACCCCGTCTCTAGTCTAAATACAAAAATTAGTCAGGCATGGTGGGGTGTGCCTGTAATCCCAGCTACTCGGGAGGCTGAGTCAGGAAGGAGAATCACTTGAATCGGGGAGGCAGAGGTTGCAGTGAGTGGAGATGATGCCACTGCACTCCCGCCTGGGTGGCAGAGCGAGACTCCATCTCAAAAAAAAAAAAACAGGGAAGGAGGAGGGGCTTTGTAATTGAGACAGAGCACAGAGGCCAGGTCTGCACTCTCCAGCAGGGCGCATCTCTCTAGCCTCAGTCTCCTTATCTGTACAATGGGGGATCCACTGTGCCCCTCTGCTCTGGCACCAAGGCTGGTTTGGGCATGAACACCTTATTCCCTGGGTCCCCGACTCCGCCAGCCCCTGACCAGGCTTCAGTTTCACACCGTGCAGGTTTCCGTTTCCACAAGGTCAAGAGCAAAGGATTGGGTTACAAAGAACTCTGGGGCCCAGACCCGGACCAGGGGAGCCTCACGGCTGCAGCCCCCTACATCTGGCAGGAGAGGCTCAGGAGGCACAGCCAGCTGCTGCTTGAGGATGTGACCCTGAACCTGTCCCAAGAGTGGACATCAATGGGCTGGAGAGTCTCCCTAGGCATCCCCATTCCTCCAGGTCTCCGGTAAAACATTGCCTTCTCAGCGAGTCCTTCGCTGGGACTGCAGATAAAATTAGAGGTACCCTGTGATCCAGGGCAGGGGCCTGAGAGCCCAGCCAAGTGGGGTTAGGGTTTCCCGGGCCAGAGTTCCAGAGTTCTGAGTATTCTGAGCTTGGTCTAGAAGGGCAGGAATTGTGAGCTCCAAGTAGCACCTCCATGTAGAACATTGGAACTCTTTATCCCAAGAGGAGGGTCAGGGCAGGAGCAGGGGCTTTTAAAACACAGGGCCCGGGGCAGCGCCCTCTTGCCCAGATCGAAAGGTGATACTGAACAGTGGACTGAGGGCTGGAGTCCAGCTCTCAGCTTCAGCATCCTCCCACCCATGCCTGGTTTTGAGGCTCACTGACCCTCCCTCCTGGGACAGCCAAAACTCCTAGACGGGAAGAAGGTAATTTCTCTTCGTATCCCAGTATCTGACACCAAGAAAGTGGCCTCCAATGTTAAATGAATGTGTAGAAGACTGGACAGGGTGACCTAGTGAGGTGGGAAGACAGGGGCTCTGGAGGCAGCAGCCCCGAGGCCTGATCACCCGTGAGCCTGTTTTCTCACCTGTGAAGCAGGGATCCACCATGTCACCAGGCTGCTGTGAGCTAGGGACAGAGGGGGATAACGTCAGTTTCGTGCTGGACGCTGGGCTGGGCACAGCCAGGTGTCACCCACATGTCAGGTGGGGATGCCTCACTGCAGCTAGCAAGAGCCGTATTTTTAGAAATCTTGCAAGCAGGATGTTAAAAGCCAGCCATTACTAAATAATGTAGGATCAAACAATGTTTCAATCCCTACATCTATCTATACAAAAAGTGAAAAAGACAGCCCTATTGTGATCAGTAGAGCTGGAGATTTGAAAGAAGTTTCAATTTAATGAATGTATTTGGTAGAAGGGTGAGAAATAGTTTAACAGTGGATCACATTGGCTTTAATGACCATTCATTCATTGGAAAAAGAATTGCATTCATTGGCACACAGCTTCATCTGTCAAATCATGGTTGAATCAAAACTATAGCTTGGCAGTGGATCTAAGAGTTGGCAAAACTTGGGCCGGGTATGGTGGCTCACATCTGTAATCCCAGAACTTTGGGAGGCCGAGGCAGGTGGATTACCTGAGGTCAGGGGTTTGAAACCCGCCTGGCCAACACGGTGAAACACTGTTTCTACTAAAAATACAAAATTGGCTGGGCACATTGGCTCACGCCTGTAATCCCAGCACTTTGGGAGGCCAAGGCAGGTGGATCACCTGAGGTCAGGAGTTCGAGACCAGCCTGGCCAACATGGTGAAACCCTGTCTCTACTAAAAATACAAAAATTAGCTGGGTGCGGTGGTGGTGTAATCCCAGCTACTCAGGAGGCTGAGGCAGGAGAATCACTTGTACCTGGGAGGAGGAGGTTGCAGTGAGCTGAGATTGCACCACTGTAGTCTGGGTGACAAGAGCACAACTGTCTCAACAACAAAAACGACAACAAATTAGCCGGGTATAGTGGTGCGTACCTGTAATCCCAGCTACTTGGGAGGCTGAGACAGGAGAATCACTTGAACCTCGGAGGTGGAGGTTGCAGTGAGCCGAAATCGTGCTATCACACTCTAGCCTGGACAACAAGAGTGAAACTCTGACTCAAAAAAAAAAAAAAAAAAAAGAGGTGGCAAAACTCCTTTGTGGTAATTAAGTGGCTAGATGGAATTCATTTATTTATTTGAGACAGAGTCTTGCTCTGTGCCTGGCATGATCTCTACTGATTGCAACCTTCACCTCTCAGACTCAGGGGATTCTCTCACTTGTCTCCTGAGTAGCTGGGACTGCAGGCATGCGCCACCACACACAAAATATTTTACAATATTTTGCAGGCATGAGGTCTGGCTATATTGTCCGGTTTGGTTTCAAACTCCTGGGCCCAAGTGGTACTCCTGCCTCAACCTCCCAAAGTGCTGGGATTACAGGCATGAGCCACTGCGCCCAGCCCTGGATGGAATTGTAATAAAGAATAGTGCACATTTCCTTATTATTTGTAAATTCTGTGCTACACACTTTGTACAGTGCAGAGTACACAAGTCCATGCATGCTTAGAGCAGGCTGTTAAACATCTAGCACAGCTGGTGCTATCCTAGGCAATGGAGTCTCGCTCTGTCTCCAGGCTGGAGTGCAGTAGAGTGATCTGGGCTCACTGCAATCTCTGCCACCTGGGTTCAAGCTATTCTCCTGCCTCAGCCTCCTGAGTAGCTGGGACTACAGGCACGAGCCATCACACCTCGCTAATTTTTGTATTTTTAGTAGAAACAGGGTTTCACCATGTTGGCCAGGATGGTCTCAATCTCTTGACCTCGTGATCCATCCGCCTCGGCCTCCCGAAGTGCTGGGATTACAGGCGTGACACCGCTGGGCTGGCATTTGCATTTTCAAAGAGAAGACTTAAAGGGGATTTTTAATCCAATTCATTTAACCCAATTAATCCTTTCATTCGACAAATGTTTGTGTCCCTTCTTTGTGCCAGCCCTGTTCTGGGCACTAGAAATACAACAGTGAACACAAAGACAAAATCCCTTCCTCACAGGAGGGGGTCACCGTCAAGGGAGGAGAGGATGCAAAGGAAAACAGTGAAACAGATTCGCTAGTGTGTTAGAGGGTAACCTGGCAGGAGAAAAAGGAAGGAGAGCGGGAGATGAGGGGGGAGAGTGGAGAGGGGGTGGAGGAAGGAGCCAGCGGGAAGCCCAGCTGGGTCTCTAGCACCGTGCTGTCTTGTTCTAGCATAGTAATTCCTGGTTCAGATCTGGCCTTCCAGCTCTTTAGAGGCATCCGAGGCAGGGAGATGGCACCCATCTGATGTGAAGGTTTGTTAGGAGACGGGCCTATATTTGAGCCCTGGCCCTGCTGATGGCAAGGACCTGTCACAGGCCCCGGTGACTGACAGAGCTCGTCAGGGAGGGGTGCAGTGCACCCATCTGCACAGCCAGGCTGATTCTGGCCCCCAAGGGTGCAATGAGCAGCTTCCAGCACAGATCAGGCAGGGACAGCAGTGGGTCCTGAACCTACCCTCACCTGAGGGCAAACCCAGACAGAAAGACAAAGTGAGGGTAGCCCTGAGAGGTCCCCAGGAGCATCCCCGGCAGTGCTAAGGTTAAGCTCTGTGCTTGGGGTGGCCCTCTCTCTCGGTCCCCTCTGGCACTGAGCCCTCTTGCAAGCAATTGGGTTTTGTCGGATCAGAAGCTGGGGTCTTAGGCCAGGCTCTGGCCCTGCTTACCCTGGGCCTCTTCAGCCACTGCCACCTGGTCCTGTCTTTGGTTTGCCCCTTCAGAAGCTCAGGCTCTGGAAAGTTCTGAAAGGGCAGGTAGGTGGGGCTAGGGGTTTCCTCTCAGTTTCTCCACAAACACCGAGAATGTGTCTCTAAATGGTACTTGGCAATCTGCCTGTCTTTAGTGACCGCCCCCCAAAATCCTATACACAAAAAGCTACCAGGGAGGCCTGAGTGCCTTAATGAGGGAATATGAAGGGACCCCTGGTCTGGGCTGGGAATCTGGGGGGTCCTTCTGCATCCTCCCTCACCCTGCTGCACGTAGTGCTGTCTGCCCTGGAGTTGAAGGCAGTGTGGCCTGGTGGGCAGAGCTGCCCTTCAGGAGCCCGGGTGCCCACAGCCAGGCTCTCAGTGTTCAATGCCCTGTGCGCACATGGGAATATGAGGGGGTTCACGGCAGATCTCGGGGATGAAGCGAGGCCCTGGGGGTGGAGTGCTCAGCAACACGAACTGTCATTGTTGCTGTCATCAGCTAAGTGGCTGGTGTCCAGGCCTCTAAGGACCCACCTGGGTGGTATGAGAAGCAGGAGGGAAAACAGAGCCCTAAGCCCCAGGCTGGGAGGGCCAGCGTGGGGCCACTGGGTTCCCACGGCTCCAACCGCAGGCCTGGGTGCCTAGTCTGAGTTGGACAAGAATCTCCCTGTCCTGATAGCAGCCCCACCTACCCCCAAATCAGATGCTCAGTCAGTGGGGTCCAGAGACTTTTCCTGAACTCTCTGCTGACCTTCCCGAGCCTCCCGTGGCCAGAGCTTGTGGGACAGCTGTGTCAGGCTGGGAGCCCTTGGCTCTAGCTGCCTTCCACCTCCACCACCTACTGAATCAGAAAGGGCTTCAGTCCCTGGGAGAACTTCTCGGCAGGACCCCTTGAAGTCTATAAGAACAGGACCAGGGCCCGAGTCCAGGGACAGCTTGAGAGTCAGCAGCCTGGAAGCCAGGGCAGGGGCAGCAGGCTCAGAAATGCCCCAGCTGCAATGATGACTGTGATACTATCACCGCTCTCTGCTGGGCTTCCTGGATTTCTGGCCCTCACAGTAATCCTGAGCCTTTGTTATTCCCATTGTCCAGAAAAGTTGTGTTTGCAGAGGTCCCCTGGGGGTCTGGACGTCCTGCTGTGGGTTCCTGGGGCCCTGGAGGGGCACTGTCCTGGGAGTTCTAGTCCTGTGGGTTGGCAGGGAGGAGGAGGGAGAAGAAAGAGAGCGGGTAGGGAGGAGGGGAAAGGGAGCCAGATAAAACGCAGGACACCCAGTTAAATTAGAATTTCAGACACACATCAAATACTTTTCCAGTGGAAGTATATGTCCCTATGCAAAATTTGGGACACACAATAAAATGTACCCAGTGTTGATCTGAATTCAGTTTAACCTGGCAGTCCCGTATTTTCATTTGCTATATCTAGCACCCTTGGGAGGGGAGGGGAGAGGGACGGAGGGACGGAGCCCCAAGGACAGGGAGGTTGGCGTGGGCGGAGAGTGACCAGACGCTGCTGACCCTCCCTCTGGGCTGTGTGCAGAGTACAAGGAATGCTTCTCCCTGTATGACAAGCGGCAGAGGGGCAAGATAAAAGCCTCCGACCTCATGGTGGCCATGAGGTGCCTGGGGGCCAGCCCGACACCAGGGGAGGTGCGGCGCCACCTGCACACCCACGGGATAGGTGAGTGGTGGAGGAACAACGGGGAGTGGGGAGGGGCCGGCGGGTGGGTGTAGACAGTAGAGGTGTGAACAGCTGAGTGTGAGGGGCAGGTGGCAGGGAGGGCTCCTGGGGACCCAAATGTGGCAGCCCCAGACCAGGAGCGCTGCAGCTCACTTGGGCTTTCTGGAATCCTCCTAGCAACCAGTGACACCCCATCTCACAGACGCAGGATCTAGGAATTCTAATAGACTTACCAAACCCAGGGAAAACTGCGCTGACAGTGATCCCAATGTTGTTTTCATAGAAATATATCCTCCTTTTGTTGAATATTTGTCATGTGCTTAGCTCCCAAAACCCGATGAAGCAGGCACTCTCCTAACCCTACTTTTTTTTTTTTTTTTTTTTTTTTGAGAGGGTCTTGCTCTGTTGCCCAGGCTGCAGAGCAGTGGTGCGATCTCGGCTCACCACAACTTCTGCCTCCCAGGTTCAAGTGATTCTCCTACCTCAGCCTCCCAAGTAGCTGCGATTACAGGCACCCACCACCACGCCGGGCTAATTTTTGTGTTTTTAGTAGAGACGGGGTTTTGCCGTGTTGGCCAGGCTGGTCTCGAACTCCTGACTTCAGGTGATCCACCTCAAAGTGCTGGAGCCACTGCGCCCGGCTTGTTTCCTGTATTTTCAACAATGAGAACATATATAGCTTTTCATAATCAGAAACAAGTTTTATGTTTTGTCATGTTTTTTTCTAAGAAAATAAGGAGTCGTTTCAGAGGCTGGGGTAGCTGTCTGCGTTGGGGGCTGGACACTCGGGAAGGCGGGACTGGCCCAGGGGAAAGGAGGTCACCTGGGAAGAGCACTTGAACCAGAGCCCACAGGCCGATGCTCAGCCTCAGGCCCCAGCTTCCTCATCTCTGGGGGGGTCATTGCCATCTGCTAGGGTTACCGGAGGCCCCACTAGAGGATACCTGCAGTGGTACTGCGAGCCCGCCCTGGGGCAGGCCATGCTGGGCCCAGGCGAGCCTGTGAAGGCTTGCAGCCTGGCGATGGGGTGCTCAGAGGTCTGATACCTGAGATCCCCCGGGTCCAGCTCCGAAGGGGTGGTGGTTTCCTTGATTTCTGTCTCTCCTAAACAAACTGGAAGTTGTAGTGGGGAAGTTTTGATTTCCTGCAGTGACATCCAGGCCAGGGCTCGTGAAGGAGGGGCTTGGGTGGAGGCTGCAGTGAGGGGAGGCAGGTGAGCAGCCCAGCCTGGGACTGAGGCTTGAGGCCCAAGTGGGACCGCTGACCCATCCCGGTAGTTGTGCTGTGGTGGTTGCCGAAGGTGGAATGGACGACACAGGGACTTGTTTCCCTGCAGTTCAGGGCAGGAGGGAAGAGCTAGAAGGGAGCAGAGGAGCCCAGTGCTCCATCTGTGGGTGGGACCCTGCACTCTGAACTTTGGGGTGACGATAAGCATCGTCACAGAGGACATTGCTGAAATGAAGAATGTCCAGTCCAGTGAGGGGCCCGTGGTGGGAAGTCGGTGGGAGGGCCCGCATCCTCCTCACTGTGACCACTCGTTGCCACATCCTGCTGCTCCCTGGTCAGGGGCCCTTGAACCTGCTGTGCGGGTCCCACAGGAGGCCAGCTGGCTTCCCAAGAGCCTTTCCCTCTGCTCACTCTGCTGTGTTTGTGGGTTTCCTAGATGGAAATGGAGAGCTGGATTTCTCCACTTTCCTGACCATTATGCACATGCAAATAAAACAAGAGGACCCAAAGAAAGAAATTCTTCTAGCCATGTTGATGGCGGACAAGGAGAAGAAAGGTTACATCATGGCGTCCGACCTGCGGTCAAAACTCACGAGACTGGGGGAGAAGCTCACCCACAAGGAAGGTAACAGCCTGGGGCCTGTTTCCAACAGTCGGAGGGGATTAGGGGGTTGGCAGGAGGGCACCAAAGCCCAGTTGATGCCACCAGGGTGGTGCAGACCACCTCCGCTGCTGGACACACAGGAGACAGTAAGCAGATGCCACACTAGGTGGGTGGTGGACTGGAGCCAGGGGGAAGAACCAGAGGGCCTGGAGGGGCGCAGGGTGACGGGGCAACCTGGAGGAAACCCAGCTGGGACCCCACAGGGCGGGGCAGCTGGAGCAAGACAGTCCGGCCTCCCAGTGTGTTCAAGCTCTCACTGGGGCTTCATCCAGTGCGCAGGATAAACCCTGGGAGCACAATGCTGCCTCCTACTGATAAAGAAGCAGGGGGAGTGAGCAGCTCCCCAGTAGCAGCGCCAGAGGTGAAGGCAGGTCTAGACGTCCCTGCCCCTCCTCCAATCACAGCATTCTCAGAATTTGCTGCTGAGGTTGAGTTTCCAAATTGAGGTGTTACTTTGCTCCCTTTCCTCCGGACTCGGGCTGCTCTAAGCTCTTCCAGAAGGGGGCTCTCCGTGGGGAACTTTGCCAGGACAGTTGAAGAATTGCAGACAGGCGGGGCTCCTGGTCCCAGAGCCCCATGAGAGGTCTTTGCTTTGCACATTCCTGCAGCCCTGCAGGCCTTCCTGCCTCAGAGCAGGACAAGACTTGGGGTCTTCTAGGAAAGCCCTTTGTACACCGTCAAGGGGATACCCACGCTGTGCCGTGTGCAGCCTTTGTTCTTCCAGCCTGCACACCCTTCTGCCTAGCCCTGCCACGCTGGCAGCAGCCAGCCTGCTCTGCCTGAGGCCAGGGCCCCTGACCCCGGAGCCTGGGCTTTCTAGTTAAGCTGCCCTGCTTGCCTGTGGTTGAGACAGGAGAGCTGGGCTTGGCCACAAGTAGGTGCTGAAAAGAGGCTTCAAAATGACAGACTTTCATCTCTGGTTAAATCACAATAAACCACTAGAAGAGTGGTTTGAGGCTGTGGTTGGACTCCTGAGTGCTGGGAGACCTCAGGTGAGTTTCCTAACCTCTCTCTCGCCTCACTTCCCTTGCTGGAAATGAGGGTGCAGTAGGTGACCCGTCAGGTCCCTCCCGGCTACCACTCTACAAATCAGTCTGCTCAGATTTTAGCTGACACCACTAAGGCACAGCACAGAGTTTAAAAATTACCCGACATGCAAAAATTAGCTGGGCGTGGTGGTGCACACCTGTAGTCCCAGCTACTTGGGAGGCTGAGGCAGGAGGATTGCTTGAACATGGCAGGTGGAAGTTGCAGTGAGCTGAGCTTGTGCCTCTAAATTCCAGGCTGGGCGACAGAGCAAGACTTCGTCTCCAAAAATAAATACATATATATATTTTATATATATGTATATATAAACAAGTCACCTGACAGCAGGCTGGGTCTCCGTACCCTGCTTTTCCAGGCTCACCTTTCGTGGCTATTTTCATTTACATGGACAGGGAAGACATGGGCCGTCCTTCCCTCCCATGCTCCCCTCAGGACACTGCCCAGCCCTCTAGGCAGCAGGTGGAGTCAGCAGAGGGAGCATGCCTTATTTTTGTGAGCTAATTATCTCCATCTAAAGCAACACCGTGGACCCAGACTCACATCTCCCATAACCAGCAGAGGAAGGTTTCACAGAAACCATGTGTTCCAGACCAGCAGGGACACCGAGTTCCCTCCCACTTGCCACAGGAGACAGGAAGGATGATACCCGAGGCAGGAATCCTTTTTCTGGATGATTGAAAGACAATGCTGAGTTTGATTAAAAAGCATCCTTGGAAGGGCCGGAGAAGGCTGCAGGTGAAGCCTTCCCTTCCTGACGCCTGTGACAGGCTGAGTTCAGCACTTTGGCTTTTTATGGGTCTTTGAAGTGAGACTGAGTAAGAGGCTTATTCTACTCAGGTGTCCTCAGACTGGGCACCTGGATAAGTCCTGTCCCTCGCCCACGTGGGAAGAGGCTGCAGTGACTGGCCTTGGAGCTGATGTTGGCCTGTCCCCTGGGATGGTTTTTACCAGCTGGCTGATTGTAGAAGCTTCTCCACAGAGTGAGATGAGTTGTAGTGCCCTCGACATTCCCCCAATACTCAGAACGACTATCGGCTTAGGTACAAGGCATGGGTAATGACACTTTTGAGAAGGATGGTTACGCAGAGAATCATCACGGGACTTTTTCTCACTGCCCGGAGCTGTGTGGAGAGTGCGCAGACCTGGCAAGTGGACACAGCAGCGAGACTGCTTCTGCAGAAGGATGAGGCTGGGCTGAGGAGCCGTGGCAGGTTGGCCCCAAGAGGCTGTCGTGGGGAAGACAAGCTGAAGTGGCTCCTGCCAATGCCTGGGACAAGCTAGTATTTTACCCCAGGAATCCAGAACCAGAAGAAACAAGCAAATGAAGTGATTTTTTTTTTTTTTTTTTTTTTTTTTTTTGGAGCCAGGGAGAACAATGGCAGTTTTGTATGCTGTGAGCTCTCCACACAGTTGGATTTTTCTCTCATAAAACCCCCATCCCCCAAACACACTTTTTTTAGAGGTGATGGTAGCACTAAGTCCTCTCTTGGGGTGGGGGCAGGGGTGGTGAAGAGGGCCGGCTTGGGAGAGAAGGCAGGCAAGTGAGGGGCAGGCCGAAGCCTGTGGCTGCGGAGGATGGCCGCTCTGCCTGGAAGCTGAGCTGTGGAAGGTAAAAAACTCCAGGCCAAAGGTTTCTAGAAATCCAGGCACAGGGGTCATATTTTCATGAAAAAAATAAAATGAAAGCACAGGCTGGCATCAGTGACCAAATCTTAACACCTCCCTACTCCCTGCCCCTGCAGAAAGCCTGATGGGCTCAAAATGTTATCAGTGGCTTAGAAGGGTAGGGGTAGGTTGTCCCTTTCTGCTCACTGGTTTACTTCCTGGTCTATGCGAATAGTTAACTGCACACTCAGGAAAGATCTTAGGGGAGCCCCAGTCCCAAAGAACTCAACTTTTTTATAATGGAGCATTAAAGCCAAACTGAAAAATTAATGTGATTTTTTGCAGTGGATGATCTTTTCAGGGAAGCAGATATCGAACCTAATGGCAAAGTGAAGTATGATGAATTCATCCACAAGATCACCCTTCCTACACAGGACTACTGAAGGAGAACGCTAGTGCCTCCCCTGGACCTGAAAACTTGGAGGGATTAATTTTTAAAAAGAAAAGTGTTGGGCCACACACGGTGGCTCACTCCTGTAATCCCATCACTTTGGGAGGCTGAGGCGGGGGTGGGTGGGGGGCGGATCATGAGGTCAGGAGTTTGAGACCAGCCTGAGCAACAAGGTGAAACCCTGTCTCTACTAAACATACAAAAATTGGCTGCACATGTAGTCCCAGCTACTCCGAGGCTGAGGCAGGAGAATTGCTTTGAAACTGTGAGGCGGAGGTTGCAGTGAGCTGAGATCGCATCACTGCACTCAACTCTGGGCAAAAGTGTGAGACTCTGTCTCAAAAAAAGTATTCTTTTCATTTGGGGGAGATGGCAAACACAGCAACAAGATGTTACCCGACTGTAGCAGAGAATAACTAGCAACCATAATAGATGATTTCATCTATGGTAGGAGCAGATCTTTAATAAAGATTTGTACTGATTTCAGTTAACTACCACGAGTCCTGCCCTTTCCAGCATGGAAGGAGCCTGCGGTTTGCAGTCCAGCCTGGATTCCAGTCCTGGCTCTGCTGCTTCCCACTGTGTGACTCTGGGCAAATCATTTCACCCCTCAAAGCCTCAGGGCCCTCACACAAGCTGGCCTCCCACTTCTTACCTCATAATGACTTAAGGGCAATCTACCAAGAGACTTACTGTGTATTTGGGGGCTAGACCCACCTTCCACATTTCCAAGATGAAGCCAGTGCTAGCTGAGAAGCAGCAACGAACAAAAAGCTAAAACCCTTATGACAACAATTCTTGCGTGCCACAGGCCCATTTACAAATTCTCATTTCCATCTCAACAGATAACGGTGACATAGCTCAGGCTGTTCATTCATCAACAGTACAGAGTGAAAGCACATGCTACAATGAGGCAGCATCAGCTGAGGGTGGCACGAGTGATCTACTTTACACCCCACACCAAAGGAAACCAGATGTGAGCTGCTGCATTCACTGACCTTGCAGGGCTCGAGAAGGGGCGGGGGCTTCCAATGCTGTGAGAAATTCGAGCTGTCCCCTGGGCTCTGTTATCAGGCAGCAAGGTTCCAGGATGGTCTGCTAAAGTGGCCCACACTGGTCATAGCCTTAAGCCACTTCCCCAGGACTTATGGAGAGAAATAAAGGGATGTAACAGGCAATGGCCAGGGTCCAACAGTCCTGAAAAACAGTGGTAGGAACACTTGGGCCTTCTGGGAGTCGATATAGCTCCAGTGGCTTTGAGTGAGTTACATGGCTAGAAGGTGCCAGGCTGGTGTTGCCGGAGATTCAGAGGTGCCCATACACTTGTCAACTCTGTGGGTCACTCGTAGTGCCAGCAGAGTCCTAAAAAGGGATGGAGTGCCACACCAATATGGGTGGGGGTACAGGGCTCCAAGGACAAAGATTTTCAACCATCTAATGATGCATACATACATTTGTATGTAGGAAAAGTGGGTTCTCCGGGTTGTGGCTTTGCCTAGTGGTACCACAGTGGCTAAAGCAGAAGAAAACCAAATCAAACAGGTGTGTGTCCTTTGGGAGGTTGTACAAGACACAAATCTTCCACGAGGGACTGGGCACAGGGAAAACTGCAAGGAACAAGAACCAGTGTGAGCGCAACTGTCTCAACGACGCTGTGTGGCTTCAGACCCAAACAAGGCCCCAAGGAAGGAGACTCATTTCCCCAAGTGTAGTTGCAAAGGGAGTGAGGAGGAGCTCCTAGAGGCCACAGAGAAGAGCTTTGTGAAGTGAGGGTGGATGACAGGCAGTAAACGGCCCAAACACCACCTACGTGAGGTTGTGACCATCTGGCTGGGATGCCCAGGTCCGCAGTGCAGGAGCAGTTTTGCGGGGTCTGAGGTTTCTAAGATTTGGCTGCCTTCTTTAAGAATACAAAAATAGAAATGCAAATTTGTGGGGCCACTCCCAGTACCACAGCAAGTGAGGGGTCCTGGTGCTTAAACTTCATTACCTCCACGGTAAATCCACCAGAGGGCTGGTTAGACCTTGGTCCTCAGAGAGCACTGCTGTCACTTTCCAGCAAAGCTCAAAGGTCCTAGGCCCAAACCCTTTTGAGCTCCAGTCATGGACATTAGGAAGTAAATCCTGCACAGCCAACCTGGACTACCAAAGATTAGATGGGAGGTAGATACCAATGATTTAGATGGGTCAGGAAGAGCAAGTCCTGGTTATAATGAAGGAGGGTACATCCCGTCAAAAGTTTATGTCTATATTTAATCACTGAATGGTCCCAGTATGGTTTTAAAGCAGGTTTTATGAATCTCATTTGCCTAACAGGAATCTGAAGTATAGCTTGCCAAAAGCACACAGCTGGTGTGGAATGGCCATTAGAGCCTGGGGCTAGTCTTCGCTGACTCCCTCCTCCTAATTAAGGGGATTCAGTGGTCCAGAGTTAAGGATCCGATGAAGTGCTCTGATTCAAACCTTACCTGAGGAAAAGGCTTTTCCACTACTCCTGTCCTGGTTTCAAGCTCATTCCTGAAATTCCAGTTGGTTTCTCTAGCACCTAGTGTTGTTTACAAAAAGGCCACAGTGCTCTTAGCATTCAAACTGCAGATACTAAACAGATTTATACTACACAGACACTGTGATTTAGTACAGAGCTAGCCATATTTTAACAAGAAACGGAAATGATGGTTATAGATTCATTACTTACCTCAAAGCATGCTGAAAGAAAATTAAGTTACTTGTCATGCTTTGAAATCTCTGGATGAAAGGTGCTTTGGAAGGACAAACCATTATCACCTGTCTCAGGGCTGTCCCCTTGAATACCCAGCAGTGTTATTACAGACGACAAATTAACTGAAGGCTTTTCTTTTATTACATCTAAAGAGCTCTACATAAACAGGTAACATTCAATAGGTAAACAATTTTTTTCCAATGCATGTAATAAATATTTTCACTTGGTACTTTTATACAAACTGACATTGTCTACTATACATTTTTAAAAGCCATTTTACTGGTTTGGCATGCGGTATGGAAATTCTAAGAGAGAAAGTTTTAAGGCAATGAATCACAGATTTAAGTTCATGGAATTTATGGTAACTTTATCTGTTATATACATTTTCCCCTTTGTTAAACAATTAACAGCAGCACACTCTGGGACCACCAGCTATTTTCCCTCCCTCTTTCTTAAATCTAAGCTTTGTGTTTAATTAGAAAACAGAATTCAACATATACTGATAAAACAAAATTCTTACTAAAATAATTTCAAATGTGCTTTAAAAAGTTCTGAAGATCCTGAAAGTCTTATTTACTTAAAATCGAAATTGTTTTAAAAACAATGCTCTTTCCATATTAGAGTTAGGATATATTTTCATTCCATTTCAGACACTTGACTCAAAGGAAAATCTGCCAGTCAATCAGACATTTCAGAGCTTATGTGAGTCTTTCCTAAGTCAGTAAAGATACAGAACTGTGATAATGTCTAAATAATTAGTAAAGCAATTTTAATGCTCAAAATAAATTAACCAAGCATGGCATGGTTCTGGTTCGGATTTTTTTTAAAAAAAGATGTATCCAATAATGCCCACGAAGTAATTAAAAGCCACTTTAACCCTGCTAGTCAAACAGCTATTTTATCAAAGATGTGTGCATACAGATGTATATATATACATAATATATACACACAGAGAGTACTATATAAAAACAAACATATGCATACCTACTATGAACAGCCAAGGCAAGGGGGATGATGGCAACTTGACTAGATTCTGAGAACTGCTATTTGTCCACAGACAGCATGTCAATGTTGGCATGGGTTGGGGAGTGAGGGTGAGTTAAGAAAAAAAGAGACGAAGTGACTATGTGCTTTTCTTTAAAGTTAGGAGTTACAGACATAGTGCATGACTCTACTAATCATTAGTAGAGATCATGAAAGTGTGATTGATACTGACCACGAGACCAACAGAGTGACAACTACTACTTAATGCAACATTCTGGAAAGTCAACAACTGATGGAAACAAACTCCTCACAGCGTGGAATGAACTAAAATTAAGACAACTGAATGGTTACCTTCTCCTGTGGAGATATGACCAAAACCACTGAACAGATGTTTATTTCTCCCTATTACCTGTTCTTCTCTTAGGTTGGTATAATGTGGGACACTGAGGGAAATTAACCCTCTCTACAACTGGGCTGAAGAAAGTAGAGGGATATATTTTCAACTGGATCATTCAAACAGTTTGTAATTCAGCATCATACACAAAGTTATTGATCGGAATTTTGAGTCTACTAACGACGACAGATTAAAAAACAGGAAGAAAACTATTCACTTTACCTAAGGCAGCTGAATTAGTAAAAATGTTTCCTAGTGCAATGAAAACCAGAAAAAACTCCCCACAATTTTAGCAATTTCTACCCCAATCCAAATTTAGATACAAATTATGGTACTATTAGAAATCAGCCTAAATTAATATGACATTTGCTCACTGTAACACCAGATTCATTAAAAAACGTTAACTGTTTCCTGGTTAACTGACAATCTGTTTTGCTTTTGTTTTTTTTACTGCAAATTGTTTTATGACTATAATTCAGCCATTTGTGTGTGGAATACACATGCGTAGGGGAAGACTATGAAACTCACTTGTTACTCACACACACTTGTTTATAAATACATATATACACACACACATATACATATCAACACCAACTTTTTTTTTTTTTTTTTTTTTTTTTTCCCGAAATTCAAGTCAACAATTTAGTGGCAGAGAGATGCTATAAAAACATTTTTAGATGCCACACAGTCATGTGAACCATTAATTTTATCATACAACTGAAGTATAGCCATCTTGAATTCTACCTGGATTAAAGTCGATCATTTTGTTACCAATGCAAGGTTTAAAACTACAAGTCTATACACAGAGGTGGTCCTTCATCAGCTCTGAGAACATTAACAGTTGTGAGAAGAAAATCCAATCTGGAAAACCAGCAATCATTATGCCCCTTCGTTATCTTTTCTGTTAAACCTGCATTCTCAATCAACTAAAAAATATTTTCCATACCTGAGAACATCAAACGTTCTCTGATGAGGATTTTGGAACG